ATGTTGTCTTGCAGTTAAGAGCTGTAATCTCTACATATATATATAACACTTTATCCCAAGTGAAAGTTTAACACAAAAAGGAAAGACAATTATGCATGACCATTTTTTGTTCATTTGTTAATTTTAGCCATTTTTGTTCATTAGTCCATTTAAGATACATAATTAGCACAGTGGTAGGGCATTTGCCTTGCACGCGGCTGGCCGGGCCAACCCGGGTTGGATTCCTCCGCCCCTCTCGGAGAGCCTGGCAAGCTACCGAGAGTATCTCGCCTGCACAGCAAAGCCTGGCAAGCTACCCATGACATATTGGATGTGCCAAACAGAGTAACAAGTCTCACAATGGAGACGTTACTGGGCCCGCTCGAGCAAATCCATGAACAATGAGAGGACAGTGTTACAGTGCATTTCTGTATCATAAATATCTCATATTTTTTGTTCTAAAATTATTCCCCTCAGATATTCAAAACACACTTTTAAAATATCTGACTTTAAAAAATGGGCATCCACATCTCTGGAGTCTGAGTCTTTGCAAACTGGATTTTGACAAGCCGTCATTCCTTCCAGCTAGACACATGTAGACCTCTGGCCAGAGGGACCCAACAATAGTCATAATATTTTATTTATATCTGCCATAACCTCAGAAAATAATTTGCAATGTCCTTGCAATTCAGTTGGCCTCTAACCAAACCTCCAAAAGTTCATATTAGAATGACCCCCACCCCCACCCCTGCGGGCAGAACTTCTCCTAGGAGGACACATATAAAGCATAGATAGGTGATAAGTAGTTCCCATGAACAGAAATAGGGCAAATGCTTGCTGTAGAAGTACATTTCTTTTGCTCATTCTGCTGCTAACAAGTTCTCAGAACGACCCAAAACGTCATGAAAACCTGACTGAGTGATAAGGATGGTCAAAGCCAAGCACAGGAGACCTTATAAAAAGTCAGATATCACTGAAAAGATATTTATTGCCAGCAATGAACGGTGTAAGAAGAAATAGCAAACATGCACAGACATTCCCAAGAGCTGGGAGGAGGTAGAGGAAGGATCGATCGTGAGTGATTTAGGGTAGTTTTTCTACTTTAAAACACATTTTCGTACTTTTCAATAGTACAAATGTCCCGAGAGAAATTAGGATCCAATGAGAAAAACCCAGTGGGCCAGAATTTCAAAGCAAAAGCAACTGTCCTAGTTCCCAATTTTACAAGGCTACCCTCTGCCACCCACTTCAAAACCTTGAGGGTTTAAAAGCCAACACTGTCCCTATCCTAATCCATAAGGCCCCGAGTTCATTCAGAGCAGCAGGGCTAGCTGGAGAGTTTATTTACACAGGGCAGGACTGAACTTTGCATGTGAGCACATACAGAAAATGATAAAGATCATTGTGTCCTATTAGTAATTTACAGAATTGTGATTTGCTCCACCCAGAACACCTATAATTGAATTCCTCAGCCATAAAATCATGGGACCAAACAAGTTCAGATATCTTTTATCTGCACCCCCTGTTTTTTTTTTCTCCCTTCCCATCAGTTAACATATTTCTTATGGTGCTTTTCTTCTTTTTATAGATTCATTTGTCTCGGTTATAAATTAACCCCACAAACCACTCTCCTAACCACTGCAGTCCTAGGCTTCCCGTGCAGTTTTTCTCTCCTTGCACAATTTATGACACGGGGCCAGTTAACTGCCAGTTGGTAAATGATGTCCATCTCTAGGTTGAAAAAAAGAATTCCTAAGGATACATGCCCTGGAGCTGAGATTCTCCTCATAGCTCAACACCCTGGCAAAGAAATGGAATGCAAGTGCTAAAGACTTCTGTTACTTTTTTCTGACTTTTTTTTTTAAGGGTGATAAAAGATACATTACACACATTTTTTTACTTTTTACCAGTTTTTCCATGCATGATGCTCTGACACTAAGTACATTAATTCACAATGGTGCCTGGCTATTATCCCATTCCAGAATTTTCTCATCTTCCCTAACTGGAACTCTGCTCCCAGTCAAACAGGAGGTCCAGCAACCCCCACCCCCACCCCCGCCCCCATCCTATCCCATCCTCTTCCCTCCCCCCAGTTCCTGATAACAACCACTCCACTTTCCATCTCTATGAACTGCTTTAGGTAAAACTGCTGTTTTCCCTTATTTACCAAAAGTGTGTGACCACCTGTTGTTTTACTAAATCGGTTGAACACACAAGAGAACTGCCAACCAACTTCAGGGAGCGATTCCTAATATTCAGTGTTTCCGTTTTCGGGCCCCAACACTTGAATTCAGACCAAACACTCATTTTTGGATGCCAAAGTCCACCCCTGACCCTTTCTTTGTCCTTCAAGAGCTTGGTCTTGGGATCTGAAATGATTTTCATTTCTCTAACGCTCAACTGATTTTCTCGGTCCACAATGCCTCTCTCGATTGATTTAAGCATCACGTTTCCCTTGGCATTGTTCGTGTTCACCGAATTACCAGACATTTTGCGTAGAGAAAAAAAAAACGATCCTCTCTCATTTTCAACATTCTAAGATGAGACTATTTACAGTGCAAATTCTTGTTCAGCTGTTGTCCTGGGTAATGCAGACTGGTGGGCCAAGAGACAACCAAAGTGATCAAGCACTGAAAAGTCAACTCAGACCCTGCTGCAAATGAACTAGAACCTTGCCAAAGAGGTGCTTTCTGCAGACACAGGGCCTTGTGAGTTGGTGGTGGTGGAGGTGGTGGTGGTGGTTGTTTTCTTCCCACTCACGTGCTTCCTGGGGGGTTGGAAGGAACTGCCCGGAAGTAGTGAGTGGAGCCCGAGCCAGTGGAGGTGGGAGGGAAGCATGCTAGCCAGGATAAAGAAACACAGTTTGGGAACAGCCCTGTTCCTTTCGGTTCTGGGGTTTGCAAACAAACACCAATTCATCCAACAGCAGTGGAAGTGGAGCGAGAAAGATCCCAGCCCTGACGTCTCGTTCTGACATAACCTGATGCATGCAGAAAAGTTGCAAAGATGGTAAGGAAAGTTCCATGTTCCCACTCACCAGGCGTCTGCTATAGTTCACATCATACAAATGGCGTGCAGGGACCAAATGCAGATAGTAATCCAACCCAACGATGCCAATGTCTTGATCTGAATTTCTCTAGTGGGTCCCCTTATGCCCTTTGCTGGTCCACCCCCAATGTTACTCTTGGCTCTGCACCACGAGTTATTTCTTGCCATGCTCAGGGGACCATATGAGATGCCAGGGGTTGAACCTGGTTTGGCCGTGTCCAAGGCAGATGCCCTCCCTGCTGTACGATCCCTCTGACCCCTTATGCCCTTTCTTGAGGCCAGGCTCCAAGCAAGGCCCTCAAGTGGCCTTCAGTCCCCTAAATCTCCTTCTTCCACTCTGTGGTCTTTCCAGTCTTAATGATTGTTTTAGTTTTGTGGCTCTTGAGCCATACCTGGTAATGTTCAGGGCCTACTCTTGGCTCAGTGCTCAGAGATCACTCCTGGCAGTGTTCAGGGGACTGTATGGGTGGCAGGGACTGACCCTGGTTCAGTTGTGTGCCAGGCAAGTGCCCTATCTGCTGTATGATCACCCCAGTCCCTTGATGTTCATTACTGGTAAACAACTTTATTGATACAACTATTGTGGACAACTGACCCCTTAAGCTCTGCATATAGACTGGTCCTTACTGGTCTTTTATGCTGCTGAAGACCAGTGATGTTAGGTTTGTCTAAAGTTGTCTCATGTTTCATATGAAATGGGGGGTATAATACCCAAGTCCTGACTGTGTCCTTCTCAGGAGACGTCCAGCACACTACATTCCCAAGCTCCATGGCCTGGGCCATGGCATTTCTCCTGGGCCCTCCACTGCCAAGTGAAGTGTTAGTCTCCTGGGAGAAGTCTATACTTGGGGAAGATGTTTGGAATTTATGTATATTCTGTTCCTCTTTTACCTGCGAATGCTAATATTCAGCAGAGTGTAGGGAAAACTCCTCCTTCCATTTATTCATTTCTCCAGTTCCTTATTTATATAAGCTTGGAATAATATAGCTGTCTATACATGTATATAAAAACACACAATATGCTTTTTATTGGGAGGAGTTAAATTCCAATACTATATTTATTTATTTATCTTTTTCAATTGCTCTGTTTGGGAGCCACACCCGGCTGTGCTCAGGGTTTACTCCTGGTTCTGCTCTCAGGGATCACTCCTGGCAAGGTTCCAGGAACCTATATTTGGTCCCAGGAATCAAACCCAGGTTGGTTGCATGCAAGGCAAATGCCTCACTTGCTGTACTATCACTCTGGCCCACTGTAATATTTTTATTGATTCAACTTTTTCAACTTTGGCTATTGGGAGCTGAAATAATTGGGACAACAAAATTGGAACTGGAGCGATAGTACAGTGGGGAGGGCACTTGCCTTGCATGTGGCCTACGCGGGTTCAATCCCCAGCACCCCCATATGGTCCCCCGAGCCCTGCCAGCAGTGATTCCTGGGCATAAAGGGAAAGTTAGACCTAGCACGATGGGTATGGCCCAAGAAAAGCCAAATAAAACCCTCAAACCCCAAGAACATGAAACAAAGAACTAGAGTATTAGACTAGACCCCCCCCCCCAATAAAATATATCTACATAAAAATTGAGGAGTGAAGCTGCTTTCCCTTTGGGGGTCAAGCTTTCCAATGGCAGGGCTTACAAGGAATCAGCAAGAGACTTTTCCATTTCGGTCCCAATTTCATTATATGTGTCATAGGAATCTGGCATCAGTTACTTGCAACGGAGGTTCATTTTTAAGAATCAGAGTTATTTCCCAACTGCAGGGACACTCTCCTATCTTTGTTTTGTCTTATACAAGTCTGATACAGAACACGCCTCCAAAGGACTGGTACGTTAGAATGAAGAAAATATCCTGATAGCCAAAATAAGAGCGCTCGGAGAATTTGGACAATAGAATACCGGGAGGAATTTGCAGGCTCTCAAAAAGAGAAGGGACTTCAAAATCAAACAGATTCAGAATGCTGGAGGCCACCTACCTTGATGGGGCGATTCTTAGGGAGAAAATGGTCTTCTTGCTACAACGTGCTTTACAGTTGTCTGCCTTCAAATCTGAAAGATTGAAGAGAGACAGAAAAATGAGTGACAAACAGACAGATAGACATACACACACACACACACACACACACACACACACATGTGCGCACATGTATGGTTCTTAGACAATTCAGGCCACTGAAAGGCACTACCACATGCTTCTCCATCGAATTTCATTCTGCCTTTTGCTTCCTTTGCATTCTGAGCTCGATGTCTGACCCGCTTTGTACCCAAGAGCCTTCTCCAGCCTCGCTGTGAGTCACGCAGGTGGAAGAGTGTTCCTGGGACACACGATTCGATTCACTTCCTCTACTTTCCTAGGGCTGTCGGTGGTCATGAGTCAAGGCCCCTTATCTCCTCCATCGGGATGTCAGATGAATAACGCCGCCCACATGATTGTACCGACCGAGATCTGAGGGATTAATGGCCTCCAGAGACAGACACGTGTGTAAACGCGTGCATGGCAGATGATCTGTGAGAGCCTGATTAATTCTAGATGGCACACGGCAAAGCTCTGTGTCCCGACCACGCAGAGGTGGCACAGACCCGAGAGCAGATGCAAATGAAGGTGTCTATTGTCTTAGGGTTCCTACCTGGGCTCTGGTGGAGGGCTGAGCCCTGTGGAAAGGCACCAGGACATTCCATGGTGACAAAGTAACACCTGCAGCTTACGGCTGGTGATCAGCTCTGTAGGAACCACAGCCTCCAGACTCCAGCGTGAGCCGCAAGTATCTGGAATCTCCACTTTTTTTTCATTCTGGAAACTTCCATTTGGAATCCAATTCTACTCTCCAACGCGCAGCAGAGATGCAGTGGATCATGAATTTGAAAGTTCTCCCCATTTTGTTATTTTCTAACACACAGGAATAGGTGGGAGTCCACATCCTGTTGCCTGATGATTTGGTTCTGAAGCGTCACTCGGCAATTCTCTTGCTGTCGTTGCCACACAACAAGGCAAAGGTAAGTTTTGTTTCCAGAATGGGACTCGTTCTACAGAGAGCATTCCTTCCTTTGGCAGTGACTGAGGGTCTCTCTCTCTCTCTCTCTCTCTCTCTCTCTCTCTCTCTTTGGCTCTCTGACTGTGTTTCAGTTATTTGCACAAACATTCTTATTGGTTAGGGAAAAAATATGGAAACGTATTTGTTCAGAACATACTCACCAAAACTGTTAATGATTTAAGAGAACAGCTTTACAATAGGAGATTACCACATTGACTTCCCCATCGCCACCACTCCGCCCCTCACATTAAAGTCTCGTAAAATGGACTCAAATGTATGAAAACCAAAGGAAGGAATATTAGGAAAGAAACTGTTTCCGATTTCCTTGACACCCATCCAATTTCCCTTTGAAATCTATAGGAATTCATGAAGAAACAGGAAGAGAGTAAAGATTTCTGGACACTGGTATCTACCTCTCACTCGTGGCCTAAGGCTTGGCTCCACAATGAGGAGACAGAATTCTAGAGCCTTCCCTAAAACTTCTCCCCCGCCCCCGCAATCTCCCACCAAGATTGTTCTGAACCCATTCAACAGGAATTTACCACATAAGGCACTTTTCAGATGCAAAATAAATGAGGAGGTGAAGAAAGGAACAGAATCCACCTGGGCATAGTCTAACCAAAGATGTCAGCCCGTGCATCCTCCGTTAGTGAGACACAGGTTGGTGTTTACTCAGTGGATTCCAAATCCTTCTACTCAGCCCCAACCCAGAGCCCTGGGCTGTGGACATTCTCAGACAGTCCCTGACAGAAGAACTTACCCCTAGACAGGGGTTGTTGCACCATTTTTTTTTTTTCTGAGAGGATTTTTGTCAGAACCTAAGTAGATGACAATGAAGACCAAAGGGCTATTTTTTCAAATGAATTTGTTTGAAAACCTCTAAGTGTAAAAGTTGACTTGAGAAATTCCATTCACAATGGAAGTGGAAGAAAAGTTATTCAAGAATCATTTCTCCAGAAAACGCTAAGCCGAGATAACTTGCAATTTTCAAGGCAGAGGTCAAGTTCTTGCCATACAAAATATTTCTTCGCAAAAAAAAAAAAGGCACAGTGACTCAATTTAATTTTCAAAAGGAGTTACTGATGATATTCAAACTCTCAAAGAACAAAGAGGAAAAAAACGAGTCTCACCCATTAGTGTTAATTTTTAAATTAGAAATAAAATGCTAAGAATGAACTAATTCAATAGCACACTAGTGTACACTGTAACGATCAAGGTAGATCTGGCCCAGAAAAACAAAGATTTCCATTAAGAATATCTATTACATAATATGCTACAAGCAGTGGGGGCAAAAACCTGAAAAGAAAAACAAGGAAATTCTCTCAAAACACACACACAAATCTAACTTAACAACATTCAACCTCTACACCTTTTAGTGTTTCTTTAGAAAACTACCTTTATCAAGACAGAAGAGGACACTTGCCTTGCATGTGGTCCACCAAGGTCAGCACCACCGATAGTCAGTCCCCCATGCCTGGCCAGGAATGATCCCTGAGTGCAGAGCCAGGAGCCCTGAGCACCGCTGGGTGTGGTCCCCAAACAAAAAACAAACAAATAGCAACAAAAAAAAAAAAAGGAGGAGGAGAAAGAAAAAGAAAACTAACTTTATGAAGAATAATATTTATCTCAAACTTAACGAACAATATCATCCTTTTGTCTTGTTTTGAAGCCATGCCTGGTGGTACTCAGGGCTTACTCCTGGCTCAGTGCTTAGGGATCCCTTCTAAGTGGTGCTCGGGAGACCATGTGGGGTGCCAGGCAAGCGCCCTACCTACTGTACTATCTCTCCAGCCCCCCCAACAACCAGTATCATCTCTATTGTGAAAAAACATCCTAGCACATCCCAACGTGTATTCCATAATAACTAGTTCCTTAAGCTTTTCATCAAAAACGTTTCTACTGTAAAATATGCCCCAGCCCCCTGCATTATCTCCCTAGCCCCCACAAATGTCAACATTTGGAACTAGTTTAAAGATATACGTACATCAACAACAATCTGTGTAACTAACGCAACGGTCCTCCAGCTTGTTTGAAGATCCCTGTCATTGCTTAGAGTGTCACTTCGCTTCCCCAACCAGTTCACTGTGGCTTTTGCCACCCACCTTTCCACTGAAGATGGCGCAAACACAGTGCACTGTGTCCTTCTAGGCTTTCATTCTGTTTCTCCGAAGCTCCTCGGTGTTTAACAACCATTTCTCCTTGCCTGGACAGATGCTCTGCCTATAGGGTGAGCCTCTCTCTGTGGGACACAGGCAGGAAGGGCTGGTGCAGCCACTCACAATTTCATACGGTTCAAGTTCCACCACTCCCCCCAAAGGAAGTGTTCCTGGGAATCCCTACCTGAACAGGAATGGCATAAAGTCACTCATCTGGAGGAAAAATCATATTTACAGATACCCAAATCATCTCCCAGATAACATAGGAAGACTTAAAATATGAAAATCAACTCGGAAAAGCAGGAAGGTAGGTTGAATTCACATTGTTCCCGGGGAAGGACATTTATGGGGACACTCATTGCTCCATGTTTGCTCCTCCAGCCCTCTCCCACCCCACATGGACAGCTGACCCCCACCGAGGTCAGACTCACGATGGGCCCTCTAAAAATGAAAATAAGCCATCTCCTAAGAGAAGCCGATTTACTTGGAGTTCACTGACTTGAGAAGCTAGTGGTTTGGTGGCAGAATTTACCTTGTCCCAAGTCCAAGTGCTTTCAAGTTGCTTCCTACTTACAAGACACAGATTTGCAGTGGACCAAGAAGAACTGAAAGCTTAGGTCTCATCCCGAGCTATTCCGAATACAGTTACACTTGTGTAGATCTAAGTGTTAAGGTTGGAATGGTGGTGGTGATAGGGGTGGTGGCGGTGGTGTGGGCGGGGTCTCGAGACATCATTCTCTGGCCCCTGAAATGCTGGGAAAGGCAGGTTATTTAACAAAGAGGAAAGCCAGGCTGGCTGGGGTACAGGTTGTGTGGGTTGGAAGGGTTTATCACCTGATGAGGGACTATTGTTACTTCTTTGTGCTTGTTTCTTCATCTGGAAAATAGAGATAAGAAGGGATCTCTTCTGTGGCTGTTGAAAGCATGAAATGAGACAGTGTTTGGTGCGGGTTTAGACTTTGACAGCGAACAACTGGTGGGGAGTAACTATTACCTGATTACTTCGCTTTGGTGCTTCAAATGACTCTGATAGTCCTTTAGAAAGAGCGTCCAGTGACATTTCGGCTAAGAGTGTCATTGATTGGTTTGCTTGACTGTTTGTGGGCCACACCTGGCAGAACTGAGGTTACTTCTGGCTTGGTGCTCACTGCTGACAGTGCTCAGAGAATGCTGAGGGTTGAACCGGGGCCTTGTGCATGCAAAGAATGTGCTCCAGTCACGTGAGCTATCTGCCCCGCCCCTGGCCACAAACTTAGGGATTATATTACAGTCTAGAACAAATGGAAAGAAAGCGTTTCCTAAACAGGAAATGAAAGGCATATCCCTCAAAGTCATTATAGCTATTTAAGATTAGGAAGTAGAATGCGACGATTTGAAATGACCTTTTTTTTTCTTTCTTTCTTTTCACTAATATGTGCTAGCAGTGTTTTCGACACTGGGGACAAAGAATGCACAGACAGATACTAAGATAGAATTACAAAGCAGATGTGGAGGGATCGTATGACTTGTTGACTGTTGGAGAAAAGGGAAGAATCATTTGCTTTTTGTTTTTTAAATTATGTTTTGGGCCACACCTAGAGATGCTCAGGGCTTATTCCTGGCTCTATGCTCAGGGGCTTGGGGGACCACATGGGGTGGTGGGGATCGAACCTGGGTTGGCCATGTGCAAGGCAAACTTTATCCCCTCTACAATCTCTCTGACCCTGTGTCAATGATTTTTGTGAAAACCAATCAAAACCTATCTGTTTGCAATCATCAACGGGTGATATATTGCTCTGGGAGAACAATATAAACATTTTGCTCACGTTCAACCCAGAATAAACTTATCCTTCATCGGTTGATCACTGTCACTGTCACTGTCCT